GTGTACGTTTTGATACCAGCTGTCTCTTTATAAAATGTTATTTGTAGACAAATTTGAATTTTTGCAGATTTCATCTTATTAATAACAAAATCGATTAAAGTTTTTATTTCATTTTTATATTTAATAAAAAATTCATCAGAATTTTTAATATCATTAGTTTGAAAAAATTCATATTGTTGTAAATAATTTTTGAATGCTTGTTTACTTAATATAAAGTTAGATTTCTTTGGTATTTTCATATTTAAATGTCCATAACCATATTGTTTAAATTCATTCAATTTATGTATTGTAAACGATTTGTTGGAGTTAAATATTTTTTTACAGAAAATGCATTTTATAGGTACTTTAATTTCAGAACATATTAAATAATGCTGTTTTAACTTATGTTGAGTTGAAAATAATCGTAAACAAAATTCACATTTATTAATTAGCAATATGTTTTTATTATGATTGAGTCTTATATGTTGAATATATAAACGATGATTTTTAAATATTTTATTACACTTAACACACTTAGGCTGATCAACAAGTATCGGATGCATTTTTTTATCTAAAAAATGAATTTAATTATAATTAATGTTATGTTACATTTAATAATAATAATTATTTTAATAGTTTTAGTAATTAATATAAATAAACAAATGAATGATATCAACACAAAAATGCCGATTGATTATATCCTAAAAAATGAACTAAACAACTGCAATAATACTGTAAACAATTTTGTATCCATTAATTCGTTATTTAAATATAATAATGAAAATTATACATTTTTTTGGAAAATCAACAATACAGATAAAATATTTTTTACAAATATAACATCATATACTATGCCATTTTTCTTAGAATTAATAATAAATAATACATATGAGTGTATTTATTGTAATTGAAATATTTTGATTATTGTTATATAATAAAACTTTTTTTCATTTTAATTAATTACTAATATAATATATATTTATTTTATATAATATATAGTTACATAAATTAAATTTATTTAGTAATTTTAAATTCTAACACATCTCAGCAACTGTTATCTAAACAGATCATATTATTAATCATTTGTTTCAAACTATCATAGGTACATTGGAACTATGCCATTAGTGAGCTAAGTTTGAATAGCTATAATAAATAATTTTTGTCTGAGGAAGAAAGCTTTTAGCTAATTACAGCATAATAAATTATTAAGAATAATTTATTAATATTAAAATAACTAAATTTTTTAATAATAATTTTAAGTAAAATTTATATAGTAAATTAATAAATTAATAAATTAATAAATTAATAAATTAATAAATTAATAAATTAATAAATTAATAAATTAATAAATTAATAAATTAATAAATTAATAAATTAATAAATTAATAAATTAATAAATTAATAAATTAATAAATTAATAAATTAATAAATTAATAAATTAATAAATTAATAAATTAATAAATTAATAAATTAATAAATTAATTAATAAATTAATAAATTAATAAATTAATAAATTAATAAATTAATAAATTAATAAATTAATAAATTAATAAATTAATAAATTAATAAATTAATAAATTAATAAATTAATAAATTAATAAATTAATAAATTAATAAATTAATAAATTAATAAATTAATAAATTAATAAATTAATAAATTAATAAATTAATAAATTAATAAATTAATAAATTAATAAATTAATAAATTAATAAATTAATAAATTAATAAATTAATAAATTAATAAATTAATTAATTATTTAATTATTTAATTATTTAATTATTTAATTATTTAATTATTTAATTATTTAATTATTTAATTATTTAATTATTTAATTATTTAATTGTTTAATTATTTAATTATTTAATTATTAAATTATTAAATTATTTAATTATTTAATTATTTAATTATTTAATTATTTAATTAATAAATTAATAAATTAATAAATTAATAAATTATTTAATTATTTAATTATTTAATTATTTAATTATTTAATTATTTAATTATTTAATTATTTAATTATTTAATTAATAAATTAATAAATTAATAAATTAATAAATTATTTCATTATTTCATTATTTAATTAATAAATTATTTAATTAATAAATTATTTAATTAATAAATTATTTAATTAATAAATTATTTAATTAATAAATTATTTAATTAATAAATTATTTAATTAATAAATTATTTAATTAATAAATTATTTAATTAATAAATTATTTAATTAATAAATTATTTAATTAATAAATTATTTAATTAATAAATTATTTAATTAATAAATAATTTAATTAATAAATTATTTAATTATTTAATTATTTAATTATTTAATTATTTAATTATTTAATTATTTAATTATTTAATTATTTAATTATTTAATTATTTAATTATTTAATTATTTAATTGTTTAATTGTTTAATTATTTAATTATTAAATTATTAAATTATTTAATTATTTAATTATTTAATTATTTAATTGTTTAATTATTTAATTATTTAATTATTAAATTATTAAATTATTTAATTATTTAATTATTTAATTATTTAATTATTTAATTATTTAATTATTTAATTATTTAATTATTTAATTATTTAATTATTTAATTATTTAATTATTTAATTGTTTAATTGTTTAATTATTTAATTATTAAATTATTTAATTATTTAATTATTTAATTATTTAATTGTTTAATTATTTAATTATTTAATTATTAAATTATTAAATTATTTAATTATTTAATTATTTAATTATTTAATTATTTAATTAATAAATTAATAAATTAATAAATTAATAAATTATTTAATTATTTAATTATTTAATTATTTAATTATTTAATTATTTAATTATTTAATTATTTAATTATTTAATTATTTAATTATTTAATTATTTAATTATTTAATTATTTAATTATTTATTTATTTAATTATTTAATTATTTATTAAAATAATGTAAATTAAAATAATACAATTCTTTTAATAAACTACAAAAATATTTATTTATTTAAATAATAATAATAAATAATTATAAGTTAATATTTAACAAAATAAATGAATATTTATATAACTTTATTTTAAATATATAATAAAATTACATGTTTTATAATTAATAAAATAAAAAAAATACAGATTAAAAAACTTAAAAATTACTAAAACAAATTTATTTTATATAAGAAATGAATTTTTACTTTAGTATTGAATATATGTTTAAAAACAAATAATAATATGACAAAAAAGCTACCATAACTATATAAAAGTTTGGTAAATACTTAGTTTGTTACAAATTAAATTATTTGTTAGTTTTAGAATCAATTTTGATTCCTTTAACTTTTGCAAAATGTTTTAAGCATTTTAATGCGAAAGGAATTTTTGTTTGATCCATTCGATAGCGTTGTGTTCCCTTTTTCATTTTTTGATCAATTTTCGACCAATAATAATTAAAAAACACAATCTTACCTTGCTTGTTCAATGCAAATCCAGCGAAATCTGAACGACATTTGTTTGTTAACTTTTCAGTTTCCGGTTGAATTCGAGTTGATGTATTTTCAACCATGTCAAAATTGTCTTCTTTATCATCATCGTCATCATCATTTACTTCAGATTTGACTTTTTTTGATGATTTTTTAAGCAATGGTTTTATAGTACGTTTTTTTCCTTTTTTTTCAACCAAATTGATTGGAGTGTCCACTTCTGATTCGCTACTTTCGCTTTCAGAACATTCCAATCCTTCGTTATCAGCAAAAATCTTTGCTTTTGACATTCTAAAAATAAAATATTATATATTAATGACATTCATTTGTAATTAAGAAACATATTAAATAATTATATAAATATTTACATATAAAAATATTATTATTTATATAGAAATATTTTATATAAAATAGCTTTGTAAAAATAGTATTAATACTTCACAAATAATATATTTTCTTTTATGTTAAATTGTCAGAATAATAATATAACTAAAAGTAATAATAATTAATATAATAACAACAATTATCATAATATTAAGAGTAACTAATTTTTATACATATTAAAAATCTACTTATATTGTTTATATGAATTAAATATTTATTATCATAATTTACTTACTTTTCTGTATTTTTAGATATATATACCTAAAATTTACAAATTATTAAATTACACAAAAATACTATTATTAAAAATTAATAAAATTTTAGTTATATTTCAAACAATTAACTCACTTTTGGCTTTTTAAAACAATGTTTTCTGTAGCACAAGTGAATATTTTGTTTGATATACAAATGAAAATTTTTGTTAAATTAATTGAATAATTTACTGAGTATTTATACAGATTTATTCAAGGTTAATTATACAATTAATTACATAACAATATTAATTATCTATTTCTAGAAAGATCTAATTGTTTTCAAAACAATTATTTTTAGTTATAGTCAGCATTTTTTTTATTGTTTTTTTCTAGAAAATTCTATTTTTATTTATTTACTATAAAATTATAAAATTCTGGAATATTCTAGAAGAAAAAATAAATTAATAGCTTACTATTACAATAAAATTGTTTACTGAAAAATATTTATACTAAAAAAGATAATAAAATTAATTTATAAAAATATTAAATATTAATTTAAACATTTTAAATTTAAATAATATTAAATAATTAATCAAATTTTATTAATTAATAATATTTTATTATTTTAAAATATAATTTTTTATTATTTATTATGAATTAATCTATTGAATAATTAATTCAATAGATTTATATTATAATCAACAACAAAAAATAAAACATGATAGAAGAGAACATTACATAATTATTAATCTTAAAATTATATGGACTTTTCTAAAAAAACAAAACTTTTATTTGTTGTAAACAATTAGAATGTTCTAGAATATTTAATGACCTTGATTAATTATATAAAAAAGCAAAAATTTAATTTACTATAATTTAAAATATTTTTATTCAAAAATTTGCAATTTAAATTAACAAAATATGATAATAATAATAATAATAATTTTCATTTATGAAAATTTTAATATTGTTCCTGAAATGAATACAGTTGATGTGAATACTCAAAATAGTTATGAGAATATAACTATTAATAATGGTATTAATGATACACCCATCCCAACAATTGAAACGCCTCCAAACTCAGATAATGAAGGTATGATTACTTATTTTTATTTTATTACATAATTTATATTTATTTATTTAATTTAAATATTAATACATATTTTATATATACTAATATATAGATATAATTTATATCTTATATTTATTTATTTAATTTAAAAAATTTAAATTCAAGGTTCAAACGATAAGGTATACAAGTGCAACTTATGTGGATATATACATTGGTTAAAAAAAGGTATAAAACAACACATATTATTGTCACATAATAATAATCTCATCGAAACCCACGGGGACGACAAAAATTTTTATTTTGTCAAAAATTTAAAAAATGAAAGCAAATAATTTTGTTTTTAACTATTAATCTCATATAATATAATTTTTATAAATTTTATCATTTATTATAATATAAATGTATAGATTTTTTATCTTATGCCGTAATAATATTAGCAGATAAAAAATAATTTTTTGTACTTTGTATTTAAATATTTTATATATAATATTTTTTTGCAAAACATACAGTTTAAAATGATTATAATTTTTTAAGCATTACTTAATATATATTATAAATGTATGATATATAAAATTTTGTAATATAATATTTCTATAAGCATATTATATTTTTTTAATAATCATAATTATGAATAATTGATGTAATTTTATTTATATAATATATAATAAATTTTATTTACATTGATTTTTCTATTTTTATTATTTGGTTTACTGGTTATAATGTAATACAACAAGTAAAATATTTATATAATAAGCATTAATTTAAAAATTGCAATATTTTATTTGCTTAATGAGCAAATAAAATTATAAATGTATAAAAAAATTAGTGACAAAATAAAAATATTATATTATACAATCTTATATATATATATATATATATATTATTTGTATAAAATTTGAGCATCACATTTGACCTTTTAATATTAGTACAGTATATATGGTATATATTGTATAGTGTGTCCAACACACACAAATCAATGTAATGGCAATGATTAATATTTAATCAATTATATAAATAATCTAAATCATGTATTATAAAATAAAATCATATTTCTTATTTATTTCGGCATTTAACTTCAATTATTAAAATTATTCAATATTAAAAGGCATTCAAAATTATTATTATTATTATATATTTAAAAAATACAATATAATACTAAACAAAATAAATGGTAAACAAAAATAGTATATTTTATCAAAAATAAAGATAATGTAAAATAATTATAAATTACTGTATATATACAAAATGTAATATTTTTTTTTAATAAATACTGTATAAACTGCTTGAAAAATGTCTGAATAAAAAATTATCTTTCAGTTAGAGAGTGTAACAAAATATTATATGATATGTATATAAAACTTTATGTAATAATGTATGAGCTATACTAGTGGTGTAAAACAACATCTTGTATCGTCTTGTTTAAAAAACAGCAAAAACATCAAAAAAAATTATTAATTAAAAATTACTATTTTAAATATATTTTTTAATAAATAATAATCATAATAATTAATAACAACTTAATAAATTAAATATAAACAATTTATACAAAATTTATACACAATTTATACACAATTTATACACAATTTATACACAATTTATACACAATTTATACACAATTTATACACAATTTATACACAATTTATACACAATTTATACACAATTTATACACAATTTATACACAATTTATACACAATTTGTACACAATTTATACACAATTTATACACAATTTGTACACAATTTATAAAGATGTTATAATTAGTATTTTATATAAGACGAGCAGATCTTGCAAGACGTGATATGACTGGGGTTTAAGCAAAAGTTGTAACACTATTAGTGTTACACTACTCTATACTATAGATTCTTTAGGTTTATTTTATAGTATTATATAAGTTATAATAATATAAATATATGAATAAATATAAAAGAAAATATTATTTTCATAATATTTATTAAACTTATAAATTTATAAGGAGCGTCAAAATGATAAAATATATTTTAACTATTAAATTAATCATCAATTATAAACATATTAATTATTACAAATTTAATGGAATTTTGTCATTTTGACTATTGTTTGTAATAAAACAATTGTGGATTTTTCTGTGAAGTAATAAAAATATTTAATATACACAAAAATTTAAAAAATATGTATTCAAAATTTTAGATAAATATTATAAATTAGTGTTATATATTTAAATATATTGTATAATATATTCTATTGATATAAATACAGTATTTACTACAAGATTTTTCACTTTATAAAATTGCTGTAAATCTATTTATCTCTGATACAAATTTTTTACTTTAGTTTATTTTTTAATTTATGAAACAAATTCTGCATTTATTTTCAGTTATTATAGTTTATGCTCTGCAATACTAAATCAAAAGCAATTCAATTTATCAATAATATAAATATACTGTATTTCATTAATTAAATGTTACACATTATATGTTTTTATTGTACAAAATATAAATAGTAAAAAAATAATTAGAAAACATATAATTTTTAATTAAAGATATTTTTTCTTTTTATTATATTAATCCTTAATAAGTCTCGTTATACAATATAATTAAATCTGAGTTTTGTCTAACTATTGGATACAAATAACTTTAAATAAAAAATCTAAAATACTAAAAAACTAATAAATACCAATTATAATATTAATAAAATATGTTTTCTAATTTTCATCAATTATTATAAATTTATATAGCCATAATAATTTAACACATTATATACTGTATCTTAAATATTATTTTAGAAATTTATATTTATTTATTATCATTATTGAAATTAATTTAAACACATTTTCAAAACACATTTAGTCAAGAATATCAGTATTGCATTCTTATAAATAAATAATTATTTTTTTTGCATTTTAAGTATTTTTTAAAATTAAAATTTAAACACTAAGTGATGTTATCGATAATCTATAAAATTAACAATGTCTTAGTTTCTTAATACAATTTTATGTCATCCAATCAAATAAATTTATTTTAAGTTTAGTAACATTATTAAAGCTTTATTTAAAATTTCTAATAATCTAAATATAAAATAATTTATTATATCTTAATTTAATTTATTAAATAAATTTACATTTAGTTCTATCAGTTCAACTATTTTATCAATTTTATATTTTTACAACTACTAAATTTGATATGATATCTTAAGTTTAATAGTAATATTATATTTATTAATAACAAAAACTATTTATTTTAATATACTGTATATTAATATTATTATTTGACACTTTAATTTTGACTAATGAGAGACTAATATAATTTATTCAATGAATGTTATACTGAATAATATTTCTATATAAATATAAAAATGTTTTCTGTAATATATTTTTTATATAACTAAACATAAATATTATATTGAAATTTATTCAATACTTATTCACAATGTTCTACTGTACTGTATATGCTAATTAATAATATTATATATTAATATATTATATAGTAATTAATAATTAGATAGAAATTTAATATAAGCGTTAAATAATTATATTTTATATATAAATACATAATTTATATAAAAATATATTTTGTATCTTAAATATAAATACAATTAATGTATTAAGTTATATAATATTTTATTGCTTTCTTCAATAATGTATGCAAATGTGTTATTTTCAAAAATTAATTAAAAATATATTTTTATAATAAACAGTTAGAAATACTATACTATATATACAGCTTTAGTTATAATATCGTATATACTTTATACTATAAATAATAAACAGTATATTTATAAATTTGAATGAATCACAATTTCATTTTTACTTATTTAACTAAGATTTACGTATATTATATGATATAATTTAAATAAATGTGTTTAATGTATAAATTTAATTAAATATTATTTAAATATTTTTAAAATATTATTGATTTTTTAGAAATAGTTGCAAAATATTTTATATAATATTTGAGTGAAATTTTTATATAAAAAATACAACAAATAAAACTTGCATTAAACCTGAGAAAACTTGCATTAAATAATTTATATTGATTTGTAAGTATAGTAATATTTTAGAGTTATTTGAAATATTGTTTGCATAGGTCATACATAAACATATTTTTTTGAATAAATAAGTTTAGCATTGAAATATACAGTCAAATATAAGTATATATACAACAAGTTCGTGTGTTTGTAATAGGAATCGATTATTTTTACATTGAAATTGTGTTTCTGTTGTGTCAGTTATAATAGCAATACTTAAAAAATGCTTTTATATAAATTAATTTTTCATTTCAAGTAAAGTGAGCTTTTAATTAAATAGTGATGACATAAAAAATTATTATTCAAATGAAATATAATGAATAATTTTAACAATATTGTTATATGTTCATGACATAAATGATTTTTTAAAAATACTTATTATTTGTTATTTATTATTTAATTTGATTAAATTAAAACTAGGATAAATGAGTTATTATTAAACAAAAATTAATGGAAAAAATATTTTCTATGTGTTACAAAATTTAGTTTATTATTTATCAAATATATTTACTTATATTTCTATTATTCGAAATTAATTATTACATTTTATTAAAAATATTATTATTTTCAAATACTTATTAAATCTAATGTTATTGTATTAATATGAGTAATATTTTACACGAAGTTCAAGTAAATGTTGTAAATATAATTTTATAAATTTTATATTATTTGAGTAAAATAAATAGATTAAAATAATTGAGAAATTTCTAGAAACTTACAAAAAAAAAAGAAATTTCTGTATATTGAATCCCTATGTCAATTTTGTTTTTTATAACATACATATAGTTATTAATAATAACTAACTATTATTAGTAATATTTTTATTAATAAACAAAATAAGTAAATAAGTAATCGTAATTTTTTAAATTTTTATTACTTTGATTAAAATTTTGAAAAAAATATAAAATCGGTAAATCATTGTCACAGTTAGTAAAATGTTTTTATTTGTTATTTTGTTTAATTTACTGAAATAGAATTTGTAGTAACCATATAAATCTTGAAGTTTGTTATGGAAATGCTATTATCAATTGCTTTATAAAATTTTATATTAAATCAGCTTTTAATATTGAAATCTGATATTTACAGTATAATATAGTAAAATTTTAATAGAGTTATTAATAGTTTTATAGAAATAGGAAAATAATTTATTTAAAAAATTTATTTTCCAATATTTATATATAAGTTACTTATCATCATTTCTTATATAAAGATTTAATATACTGTTGTATTATAAATTAATATATCAATTATTACATAAATATGATATATAATTTGTCATGCTTTAAATTTCATAAATCAATTTATCAAAAATAAAATAATATTTTGTAAACATGTTATACATGTGAGTCTATACATCATCTTACTATAAAATATTATGAATTAATAATAAAATGTACAAGTTTATATAAATATCTAATAATAATTAAATTGTTCAATTTTTTGGGAATTGTTACATAATGTAATTTGACGTAATGGAAAATTTTACTAAACTAAATAATAATCTATTTTTTAAAATATATTATTATTATTAATAACAAATAGTTACTAGAATTTTCTGCAAATACATAACATACAATTATTTGTTTAATTATTAGATTATTTTGATATTTTTAATTGGATTGTTAATTATTATATCATTAAAATAATAATTATTTTTTTAGTATCATATAATGAATAAATAATATATAATTTACAAGTTATTACAGGTCATTAATTGCATTTAATAAAAATTTTTTTTTTTAAATCCACAAAAATAATACTAAGTATTTAACAATTAATCAAAATATCATTTATTATTTAAATTAAAAATTTAATTGTATTTTACACATTGTAATATACAATGCTTATTTTTAAATTTAAGATAAAAATTTTATTTGTTAACTTTTTTTATTTGCCTAAATATTTTTAAATATTATTACATTTATAATTGTGATGTACTTGTATTAAATTCCTGTAAAAAAAATCTTAGATAATTAATTTAGTATAAAAAATTAATTTATTTATTAATATTATTATTATTCAAAAAATAATACACTATAATTAAGTTAAATAGATGTTTACTTTATCATTAAATAACGGTTATAATGCGTAAAAAAAAGTTTTAAAAATTCCCTTATAAAATAAATTTATAGTGTATTTAAATGCTGAGAAAACATAAAAATTTAGTGTTATTTTTTTTTAATTTTTTACTGACATTTGATTTTTTATTTTATTACAATATTTTTTTATTATACATTTTTATTTTAAAAACTAATAAATACATGAAACAATATATTAAATATGCAATACATAGTAAAAACATATTTAACATTATTTCTTAAAGTAATATTCTATTTGTTAATATCATTTTTTATTGTAAAATTTATAAAATATTTTAAACAAATTAATAAAATACCTGGACCAAAAATTAACTTTTTATTAATTGGAAATTTGGATATATTTTATAGATACTCAAAATCTAAAGCAACATGGTTTCAAGGTATAAAATATTTAAATACTTTGATTAATTGTTTTAATATATAATATTGTATGATATCTACAATAGATACATATGAGGCACTATTATCAATAGCAGCCCAGTATCACAAATCAGGTGTTTTCCGACTCTGGTTGGGTCCTTTCAATCCAGTTATTGTTATAACTAATGCTACAAATGCCGAGGTTTGTACTAATATTATCACTAAATAATAATCAATATATTTCTAATCAAAATTTAAATGGTATTTATAAATTGTTTATATTAAAAAAAATTTATTTTATATTATATAAAATATTAATCAAGTAATATTTTTTATAGAAATTGCTTTCAACTAAAGCAAATATAACCAAAGCTCATGAATATAAATATTTGAGGCCATGGTTAGGATATGGCCTACTGACCAGGTAGAATTTTTAAATTAAATCTTAAAATTTTAATTTATAAATTTTAACATTTAATTTGTTTACTATCTATTGTAAAGCACTGGTAATCAGTGGAGAACCAGCAGAAAGTTGTTAAGTCCAGGATTTCATTTTCAAATACTAGAAAATTTTTTGCCAATTATTATAAATCAACAAAATATTATGATGTTTTTGATTGACAAACAAATTGCTGAAAATGATGGTATAGTTGATGATATACGACCATTGATTACAAACTATACATTAGACGCTATATGTGGTAAGCAGTTATCGGCGATTTAATAACAAATAAATTCAAAAGTTGCTTATTTAGTAATAATAATTAATTATTATTATTTTAATTATTATTATTATAGAAACAGCAATGGGATCAACAGTCAGAGCACAGACCAGCCCTAACTCAGACTATGTGCGGGCAATTCAACGCATGTTTGCCGTATCAATCATACGGTTTATTAAGCCGTGGCTTTGGTCAGACTTTATCTTTTACAGGACACGAATGGGCCAAAAGTTTACGCAATGGCTAAAAGTTTTGCACGACTTTACTGAATCAGTAATAATAATAATATATTTTTAATTGCTTAACATTTGGTGTATATTTTTCTATATCTTATCTAAAGGTAATCAAAGAGAAAAAAGCAGAAATTTTAGAGAAAATTAATAATTTTGATAAGTCTTCGGACATAACACGAGAAGAGATCATTGATAAAGTTATGAATACTATTGGATCAAAACGTCGTCTGGTTTTTATGGATCTACTTCTTCATTATCATCTCAAACATCCGGATGTGATGACCGAATTGGACATACGTTCAGAAGTTGATACCTTTATGTTTGGCGGACACGACACTACCTCGAGTTCACTAATGTTTACACTACTATTGATTGGTTTAAATTCAGACGTTCAGGTTTGATATAAATTTAGATTTAAATTATCACTCAATTATTTTTTGTTTAAATTACTTTATTAGAAACAAATACACGAAGAATTGGATGATATATTTAATGGCGATATAGATCGCGAAATAACCGTTGAAGACATCAGACAAATGAAATATTTAGATCAATGTATACGTGAAGGTCTTCGCCTTTATCCTCCCATTCAACTCATTGGCCGACAAATTGAGAAATCTTTTCAATTAAGCGATGGATGTGTCATTCCCGGAGGTATGACATGTTATGTGCCATTGACTGCTATGCACAGGGATCCCAAATATTTTCCCGATCCTGAGGTGTTTGATCCGCAAAGATTTGATGTGGACTTAGTTGCCAAAAGACATCCATATGCTTACGCACCGTTCAGTGCCGGTCCGCGCAATTGTATCGGACAAAAGTATGCTATGCTCGAGGAAAAGGCTTTTTTAGGACAACTTTTCCGCAAATATAGCATTGAATCGCTGGTCAAACGGGAAGACGTAAAACTTGAATTATCTATTGTTTGCAAACCTTCGACGCCATTGAAAATGAAATTTAAATTGAGATCATAATTGTATAGTTCATTCAAATGACTTTTTAAATATATTATAAGTATATACTGTACTCTGTATATAAAAAATTTAAATTTTGCTTTTATTATAATCAACAATATATTCATAATTATATTAATACACAAATTATTTAAGTCTTACAAAACTATATTAAAACTATAATTATAAACTTTAATAATTATTATTTCAATATATTATATGCAGCAATTGACATAATATTTAATCAAAAATATATCTATTAATTTTTTAAAGATAATAACAAATAATTTTTATATTTTCATAAATACTAATAGATGTAAATTCATTATAAAATCAATATTTAATATCTTTTTATTGCGATATTAAATTATACAATAATATAAATTAAATATTAATAGTTTTCATATAAATAAAATATAGATTTAATAAATACAGTATTATATGAAGTAATAAAAGTATTGTAATGTATTAGCAAAATTAAATATTCAAATGATGATTATATTTTGCTAAAATTACATTACTTTTGTAATTTAATGAATTTTATATTAAATGCTTACAATATTTCTTATACGATATGGTGTATCTTTTTTATTTCAAAATAATAAAAAAGAGTTATTAAAATTTAATATTTATCATAACTGTTTTTAGTTGACTATATTTACTCAATTTTAATTAAATTTTATTGTAAATTTAATATCTTTAATATTTATAATATTATTATGGTTACTATTGAGTATTAAAATGATAAATATCAATAATAATTTATAAAATTATTATATTTAATTTGAGTGTATTTTCCTATTATAGAATTATTATATAACATAATCTGTTTTCATAAAATATACAAACATTAAAAAACTTATCACAAGTTGCTTAATAATTATTATGTTAATATTTAAAATACCTACTTATAGTATTATAAAGTATTTATAAATTACATCAATCGCTTAACTAACATCTATTGATTCAAAATAAATATAATAGCAAATTATTAAAAATTATATTTGAGATTTATTATATATTTTTGCAATTTTTCAACTAATTCAAAATTATCAAAGAATACAAGTTTGTATTAATAGAACTCATTAACTATTGATTTATTTAATAATTATTTTAATTTATAATTTAATTTAAATAGTTTAATACTGAGTTTAAATTAACTGACAACAAAAACGTGTCTATTAATATTATAATATAATTATATATAAAATTTATTTAAAATATTTAAATTAATAATTACGATTGAGTGAAATTTTCCAATTTAATCGATAAATTGATAACTTTTCACTCTAACATTTAATCGTTATAATTGACAGATATTTAATTAGTTTTACACCAATTACTATAATGAAACTCAAAACTATTTATATAATTATTTTAAACACCGCTTAAAAGTCTCTATACTTTAGTTCTCATTTATAGCTCTCGTAAATGAATAATGTTTTTATAATTTATACAAACTATTATAATAAATACAAATAATGTTATTGTGAAATAATAACAAAATTTAATTATTTATTTTACTGTATTTATTAGAATTGCAGGTAAATATATAATTCAGTATTAATTAATGCAGCATCACATGTAAATATATTCAATTTTTATTTTTATTATAGTTATAATTAAAAAAAATTACAAATAGAAACCTCCATTTACTTATTTAAATAAAATAAATGGCACTACCACTACCTGGATACTTTATCGCGGTATTGTATCATAATTTTTAAATTTGTTGTTCAATTATTTAAATATTTTTTATATTTATTACAAAATACACACAAATAAGTTATAAATATTCAAATAACACGTTATCTTAGGCGGATATTTAAACTAATCGATGAAAACATATGTAAAAAATAAGTATTATCTCAATTTAATATTTTTTTAAAAACTTATAAACGACAATATAAATAGATAGAGATTATTGTTGATAAAACTTAAGAGAAACTCATATGTATTTATATATTTAAAACCATAAAACCATAAAAACAAAAACACTTTTTTGAAAAATTAATTGTTTATAAAAATCTCACATAAATTATATTAGTTTATAATTTGACAACATATCAATTATATAATGATAAACGAGTAAAAATTGAAAAATGATAGATAAATGACAAGTAATTTTCTAGACTGTGGTCAAACCTACACAAAATTTTTATATTATATCATATTTTAATGCAATGATTTATAATGACAAGAAATTTTCACTATAAATTGTTAATATATGTATCGTGTTGTGAGATATAATTAAATATGTGATACATTTTTTTTGTGTGAATAAAATTGATTTAATTTGACGCTTCAATAATATAATTATATAATATAAAAAACTATTAAAGAAATTGGTCAAAACTCATGGGATATTTGAATTTTTTGAAAATAATTATTCAAAAAATATATAGATAACAACATTATCAAAACATTTTTAGATATTTATTATAATAAATTGAATAATTTATTGTTTAAGTTTTAATTTATAAGATATAGCAGTAGGAGGTGTATCGATAACAGAGGAACGGTGGCAATCAATCGACTTTTCCAAACACATGTCTTAACTGGAGTTACATTTATGACCCGAAAACCTAAAGCTCAACCAATTATCACTCTTATTATTGAACCGTTTGATGTATTTGTGTGGATCAGTATAATAATAGCACACTTAATATCATAATATTTATTATTCATATATTTAAATTAATTGACAAAACTAATAATAGTTTTGATACCATTCAATAGACAGTTACCGGTGCAGTGTTTAAGCAACAGTGCGGTAGTGTTGATATACCTAAACAATTAAGATATTTAATCATCAATTGGTTAATGGCATGCCTTGTATTGACGTCCAGTTATAGCGGAAAGTTCTAAGTCTATGATGTCTTTCCCCTCAACAATCAAAACCATTAATTCAGTGGAGGAGTTGGCTGACGCACAGTCAGCAAATGAAATACAAGTGATGACTACACAAAGTGGTGCTTATTATAATATGCTGGAGGTATGGACATGACATTTGTCTCATTTTTATTTAACACAAATAAAATCAATTACTTTGTAATTAAATCAACAAACTTATGCATTATAGACTATACAGTATACTGTATACAAAGATTTTTAATAAATTATTTGATAATATTATAGCATAAATACATTAGTATTTATTTTTTTTAATATAAAAAAGAAATGAGTTTTAGAAACATTTAATTTTAGATAAATATTTTTTCAAATATATTTATACTTATTTAAAATTTTTATAATTTTTTTGTTACAAATTATTAAATTGTAATAAAAATATAGTGATAGTAATGTTTTTATAAAATTGTTAAAAATGATATGTACATAAAGTGTAATCTTTATATACAGATATATATTTATGTTTTTACAGACATTGCATTATATAATTTGTGTTAAAATTTTATACAAATGTATTTATATTATGCATAATCATCTAATTTATTACAAAAATAGTTTATAATAATTATTTATATAATAAAAACAATTTAATTATTTAATATAGAAGTCCTCTACTAGTGTCGGAAAAAACTATTTGAACGTCTAATAGATGTTGAAAATACTAATGAAGGTATAAAACAATTGATATCAAGTGATGAGGAACTGGCGTTACTGTCATTTCGTGAATCATTAATATATCGTATGTATGAGTCGGGCGGTCAACGATTTCATTTGCCTAAAGACACGGATGAGTCCACACTTTTTATGGATATACTGGCGATACCTATGCGTAAAGTCTTTCAATACAAATCAAATGTCAATAAGTTGTATGTTTTATATTAATAAATAATTTCAAATAATATATTTTATTTATAACATGTTTGAAAAATATTTTTCTTTAAACTTATTATTTATTTTTATACTAAAGTATATATCTTGTGTCGCAAAGGGAGGAATTGTCGACTATTGGAAAGCACTAGAGTTTAGGAAAATGTCAAATGATTTTTACACTTTTAATATTTTAAGCACTTATGAAAATAAAATGCCAGAGGATTATCATTCAATTAATGTTAACCAATTGAAAAGTGCTATTATTTTTATCATTTTTGGCTCAATCACTACAATATTTATTATAATAATTGAATTGTTATATTATAAATGGCATTTAAATACATGTATTTATGAAAAAGTCAAATTGTAAGTACAATAAAAATAATAAATTATAATACAGTATAAATCATTAGAAACAAAGTGATTAAAATTAATTTCCGAGAAGAAAAATGTTTACATTATTAATGATTTATTAAATAAATGTTTACATTATAAAACTAAAGCTTATTTATAAAAATATATACAAACATAAATAATTTTTAAAACATACATATCATACATATATCAACACTCATTTAAAATAATAAATTTAATTAACAAATAGTTTGTAATAATTTCAAATTTGTTAGATTTATAATAAAAATTGTTTGACAAATATTATTTAAATTTATAAGCAATGAACAAACAGAGTGGTAGAACCCATATATCAAATTGTTTAACGAAGACATATATCCAAATCGGTGCAAACAAAACACTAATACCGGTCAACATCTCAATAAACAACGACCTGTGGTTATATCCGACATCTCCGACACGTTTTTGTCTGCTCTCAACAATCTCTTTCGATGCCTTTTTCAAATCATATGCCCAACCAATAGATGCAAACATATCGATGAAAGCTGTGGCCGGATTAAAGGCATCCCATGGACCCAATTCACTGGCCGAGTAATCCCTGTTTTTAGATAATTTTAAATAATTAATAAAATATAATATAATAATTAATATAATATAATACAAATAAAACAAACCATGGAAATGCGTGGTGATAATTATGGAAACCCTCACCCATCAGATAGTGTCTCATATGAGCCTCAACCGGCACTATATCTTTATCGTAGGGCTAGAAAATGTTATTGAAATTAATCAAAACAATTATATATATATATATATATATATGAATAATTACAGAGCACCCACCTTCATGCCCCACATATGAGCGGCACTATTGACACACCAGGTTA